GTACTCTGGTTTGTCCCTGGAAAAAACTGGCAGCTGGTTTTAGTACATGTTTTAATAACAACCTCACTGCTGAAAGGCCTAATTTCTCTCATTTCTCTTCTTGCTGGAGCACCAAGCTGCTTCACAGGAACTCAGAAGCAGCAAAGGCCAAAGTAAAGGCAAGGCTTTACTTGGGCTGCGTTTTGTCAGGTACCAAACACATAAAATGTGGTGCTTGTGGTTGTTATTCTAAACCACATAGAAATGCATAGCAGAGACCTGTGTGGGAATGTCCACATGAATGGGAAGACACATGTAATTTCAGGAGCTTATCGGTTAATTTTTGTCCCTTCTTAGTTTTCAGTAAATGACACTACTTTATTCTTTTTTTTTTAACCCATTTTTAGTCACATTAGTGAAAAACAGGTGGTGCTGTATTCCAAGAGGAGAAAGGATAGCAGAGATGTGCTTTAGATGGGTGAAATGCAAGGTCTCAGCCCCTCGGAAGACTGAGTGTGCCTTTTCTAGGTGTTCTAATAGATCTGAAGATGCAGCCCTTCCTTTTATTTATTTTGACAAACTATTTTCTATAAATGGAACAACAGCTACTGTTCTGAAGGCAGTCCAAAACCGGTTTGAGCCCTGTATTGGCCATCTACATTGTTGGAAATATCAGCAGGCGTGTGTTTGGAGATAACCTGACCATGCTTGTGAAGGTCTGTTAGTTGACATCCTGCAGAGACAGTCTTGTTGAGGTTTTCTCTGTCCAAGCCCAAGATCTTACCTCAGTTTGGTGATACTCTGTGTGCCCCTGAACTGGTGAGGTTAATGGATACCCTTTCTGTGATGTACAGGATGACTTTTTTTTTTCCTGTCTCCTCTTGTCCATGAGATGCTTAGTGTCTGTCCACTCCCAATAAATACAGCCATATGTATATACATATATATACACACACGTGTTTTTATTTGGAGAATGTGGCACTTAACATCAGTGCCTCAACTTGACTCAGTCTTACCTTCTGTTGTTTTACATGGGTATATTATGGGTGAGCGCATGAGTTTTGGATTTGGTCACTGTCTTTAATTACTGTGAGTGTCTGCAGTACAGAGATAAGTAACTTTGTACCTGCTTGTTAAATGGTGCTGAGACTTTAAGGTGTAGGAGGATAGCAGTAAAAGTACATGGAGCAGGGGGATGAGGTGCTATTTTGTATGAAGAACATCTGGGTAAAACACAACTCGGATGTGGTGTCTCATCAGACACACCGACCAGAGGACAGGTGATTGTTTTAAATGAGGCTTTCCTCTCATTGGTGACCATAGAGTTTGATAATTCTGACTTGGCCTGTCAGTTTTTACAGTAGGCACTTTTCTTCTTCAGTGGTGGCAACTTCATATGGGAGGAGGGAGAGGATTAATTCAGAAGATTTCAGCTCACTGTGCTGGGAGGGACCAAACTCAAGGAAACCTCTGATCTATATACACAACTGCTGCATTTTTTATAAATATATGTAAATGTCCTATTGTAATATTTGATCCTGGAAATAAACTGTTTTAAGTAGCTTTCGTAATCTCTTGGGTTTTGGATGCCATAGCCTCTGTTGAGCCTCTGGGAAGCTTATGATTTTCCTACCCTGGCTGTAGCAACTTCTGTTGGCATTGACTCTTTTTACAAAGTAAGTAGCAGAAGCTGCAGCTCAGCTGAAGAGGTCCACATGTGGTTTATTATAGGTAGTAGCTCCAGATTTGCCCAGCCAGCAAGAACAGGGCTTGCCTGAATTTGAAGTCTGTTTGCAGTATGGTGTCTGATAGGAAATAACAACCAAGTAACTGACTTCAACATAAAGCATCTGGTTTCTGCTGCGAATGGATTGTTGACTACAGCAAGCTGCTTGCTTAGCCAAGAAAGCTTCAGCACATTCTGGAGTGAGACAATGTTGAAGTGAGACAAACTTTGGTACTTTGATGAGAAAATTACTATTATGAAAATGAATTATAAAAGGCAGGGCTATGATTTTCTGTCCTTACCAATGGAAGAGCAGAGAAAATGTGGGTTTCTCAACTGACAATGTCCTCGTGGTACAGGTGTTGTCAACATGGAGCTTCTTATGCCATTGTCTTTTGGGCTCCTTGGGATGTTCCTGTAATGACCCCAAATGAAATGCCGATGAGCAGAGTCCCTTCTGGACAAGTACTTAGCAGGTACAGTGGGAATACAAAAGCTTACAAAACTGATGTCAGCCGCTGCAAAGAGAGTCTTGTGGTATTAGAACTCTCCAAGAAGTTATGGAATAGGCTGACTGTGCCAGCAGTCATGGTAAAACCTTCAACCAGTGTTCCTTGTGACTCACTTCCAGCATGCCTTGGAGAGGAGGGCAAATGTGCTTGGCTTGGCTGCTGACCACAGATCTTTTACCACAGCTATTTGGCCAATTCCTTATCCACTGTGGTCCATCTGCCAAGTCCATGCCTCTTTAGTTTGGAGACAAGGATGTCATGCAGGACAGGGTCAAATGCCTTGCACAAGTCCAGATAGATGGTATCAGTCACTCTTCCCTTACTCAGCAGATATCTTTTCTCTCACCCGAAGTATTAACTCAGGTGAAATTTGTAAGGAAGATAAAGCAAATGCCATATTGTCTAGCAGCATCATGTTGGTGCTTCATCAGTCTGAGTTCTGGCCACAGACTGGTGGGGTTGTCTAAGGGGATCACTGTTGGCAGCAAGTGTCCACATCTGAGTTCGGAGAAGTTTTAGCTAGCTAGTGGCAGAAACAGACTTGCAGCTGCTACTGAGAGGAGTGGGAGAGACCACTGTATCATGGTGAGCATCCTCTGGACAGGACTGAGGTGAAGGTTGGTTTGGCAGAGAACAGTTTGATTTTTGCTGATTCAGACTCAGCTTCTTTGATTCTCCTTGAAGCCAAATTACTCTTGAAACCCACCCTGCTGTGTTATTTCCACAGCCCCTAGAGGAGTTCAGGGAAGAAAAGAGCAGTGGTTCCGAAAATCTCACTGACTTTAAAGTTCAGAAAGAGCTACTGCCAAGTGTGACCTGCAAACCATGGGCCAGAGAGGCATAGTCCTTGACGTGTGATGGGGTAAAGCAACATGAAACAACTAGAATGAAAGCAGCCAGCATCTCTTTAGCTGCAATCCAGTGTCAGAGAAGGAGTAACAGGAGGACCTTGCCAAGCCAGAATTGCTTTGCGTGAGACCATGTTTGGCAGTACTGTGGCTGGGTGACCTGGCACTGACTTGGCACTACGTTACTTGCCCCTAATTGCTGTGCTGACATAATTAAGTTCTCATGCAAGAGAGGCATGCAGCTGCTCACAGCGCTTGGGAAGCTGTGCAGGGCTAAAAGTAGCCTTTTCTGATCATTATTGCTATTACAGACTTGGGCTGGAGTGGGTGTAAGGGGAAGATCAGTAGCTTGGGGAAAAGACTGACTCTGATGGTTCATGCTGAATGGCACGGGGTTTTCTGTGGGAGATGATCGACCAGATCATGTGTGTAGCAACGTAGGAAGCTCAGATTGGTGTGATGTAGAAAAGGGGCACAAGATGAGGTTGCAACACATCTTCCAGCAGAGTGAAAAATGCTTCCTTTCGAAATACAGAAAGAGAAGAAAGAAAAATGGATTATTCTCGGCAGTCTGCTGCCCTGCATATTTCACCTTTGCTGCTGCCTGCATTTTAGAGACCACTTAGTGTTATCTAAGAATAAAATGGGGATTTACATGCTTGTGCAAACTCTGATTTTCCTTTCGGAGGAACCATCATTATTCAGATAATCCCCTCCTCTCAGCTTATTTTTCCTAGAAAAAAGGAACTGCCTCACCATTCATTCATCTTTTCCCACACAGCCCTCGAGGGCTCCAGCTCCATTTCTCCATTTCTAACATCCAGGAGTGGCCTGCTGTGCTTGGAGCAGGTTTAGTGCTCTCCACAGACCTGTACTCATTGATCTGAAATCAGGAAAAGCCACTTCGAAACGTGTTGGCAAATGGTACTCGCGTGCGTTACCCTGGGTAGAGCAAGCTGGGCTCTGCACCAAAAGGTAGCACTTTGGTGGCTTTTTTTTTTACTATACTGGAGCAAGATTGTGTCAGGGCTGTAAAATAGCTACACTTACACATCATCTGTGGCAGCTGTGCCTCCGGTCCTCATGAGCACACGAGGAATATGAACCTCCTCCAAACGCTTCTTTAAGAAGATTCTTCCTTTTGCCTGCACAACCCATGAGCAATTCTCCTTTTGCTTATGCTGCCTGCAACTCCTCTGCCAGAAAACTGCCCTGTTTTGGCCATTTTTTGTACTACAGCTTCCCTGACTCCTGTTCTCAGACATGGAGATCACATTCTCCCAGTCCTGTTCCTGTCTTGGAGCTGCTCCTGTCAGACATGCTCTATGGGGGAAGATGAGGAGCTTCCCCATTGCACAGTGACTGCCAGCCGTGGGCACCCCAGACAGGACTTTGAAATGCTGCTGTCTGATGACTTGCAGTAATTAGGATCCAGAAATAACCTTTCCCTCAATGTTATCACCAAGGGCATGAGATATATATGTAATGGGGGTATGCCCAACATCTGGAGGAAAAGCTGGGCCATCTGCAAGGAAGAAAAGGGCAGGAGATAAGAACCAGCTGAGGCAAAGAAATATTTATTTAGAAGCTTTTATTAAAATACTAGTGTGTAAAAACAAGAGAAAACCCTAAGTTGTTAAACATGCATGCACAAAGCTCTTGCACAACAAGAGAAATAAGGTGAAATGTGATGGAAGAGGTGATTTGTGGAGGATGCGGACTCATTATGACAAAGTTATAGCATTTGGAGTGGCCTGCAGAGAGGAAAATGATATCCGTCTGTGGTCCTTGCAGGTCATTCCAGGAGAAACAGTGTTTGATACTCAGGCAGTGGTCAAGGCATTTAGGGCAGACATGGTAGAAGCCTTAAAGTTTGAAGTTGTGCAAGTTTTGGTTGGCTTCTGGCAGTGGAAGGGGGCACAACCAAACGGATGGGTCAGCTGCAATGCCAGCAGAGGCTGGCTCCTTGGACAGGGCAGTCATTCTTTCCTTAGAGCTGCTGCCTGTGTGGGAGATGGGAAGACCGTGACTGGTGTGGTGGGTGGACCTTGGGGCGGAGGAGGAAGACGTGGAGCACACACTGGGACATTCATAAATAGTCACCCATGGATGATGCCTCCAGGACAGAGCTCATCCAAGGGGTGGATGCTGCTGGCTCCACCACTTCCAGGTAAGGTCCCCCTTGCTTTGCTTGAATCCCGTTGCTTTTGGCTGCAAGGGACTTGATTTCAAGTGTTCCAACAAGAGACTGTTCAGCTGCATTTTTGCTTTACTTCCCCTTACAGAGGGGTTTGTCTGTCTGTATTTGCTGAGGTAGAAGAATGCAGCTTAATGCAAACTCCCTTCTGGTACAAGGGGTGCGTTATGAGGGACAGCAAGCCATGGAGAGCTTCCTGGGGAAACACCTCCTGCCTTCCCTAGGGAAAAGCCAGTGATGGTGGGCAAGGAGAATCCTTGGGGAGGTTAAGGGGAGACTTGCAGAAGACCATAGGAGCCTCTTGCTGCTGAGAGCAGCCCATGCTGTGAGCTCAAGAGCTATTCTGGAACCTGCTATACTGGAAGGTTCTCCAAAGTAGGGAGGTGGGACTCAGCACTGGATGCTCATGGGGCTGCAAGTTGGACCATAGTGAGGGCAAGAGGCCCAATATTCATTATAACCAAGGCAGGGAGGACAGAAAGCAGGGAGGAGGTGAAGCTCCAGGATGAGCAGAGCTGGTGATCCACCTTGGGCTTTTTGGCTTGTGTTCTTTCTATGAAGCAGGGTTTTGCAGCCCTGTTCCTCCATGATCAGCTCTTCCTGGACCCTACCAGCTGGCCGGGGCTGCTGTGGCAGGTCTCTGGCAGGTTGGAGCAAGGCAAAGCTCCATAGTGCTGGTGTCCCCCAGCCTCTCAGGCCATGCAGGGGCTGGACATGCAGCCTGAACTGCTCCCCCCGACACTGATGCTGCTCTGCAGGAGGGGAGCTGAGGCAGCTCTTTCATATGGCGCCTGTTCACTGCCACTTCTGCAAAGCCAGAGCAAGCCTGGAATAGCTGCATTAGCAAGCTCGGCTTAGAGAGCTTGTGCAAGACAAGCTGCAAGCCACTGGGAAAGGGGAAGGTGCATGAAACCAATATGAAGCAAAAATGCACACAGGGCAGAAGAAACCTGGGGAGCCAGGAAACAGCAAACCAGGTTGTTTTCAGTGGTCCCAGAGCAGCTGATGGACATCCCCCAGGTGGTGGTGCAGGTACAGGAGAGAGAGAGATGATTTTTGACAAGGTATCACCAGGCGATGGACGGGCACTTTCCAGGTGAACTGATAAATGAATTAACAGTGGAGCTGGGTGGCTGCCTCAGGACAGGTGATGCCCTTTGCTTAATTAACTTTAGTTGGTGTCAGCCTGTTCAGATCTACGGTAGGACCAGTGTGGGATGGAGTTGCTGTTGGATTTGATTGCAGACTGATGTGTTTTCACAAGTCCTTGCCCAAGGGTTTTGTCCATTGCCTGGCTCCCTCCTGCCTGTTGTAAGCTCCCTTAAGTCAAACCAAGCTGTGGTGGTTGGTCTCCGTGGAGCCTTCTCTTCTCCACACTGAACAACCCCAGTCCTGTCTCCATAGCAGAGGTGCTCCAGCCCTCTGAATGCACCCGTTCCTCTCCTCCTCCCTATCCCGATGCAGGGTGGCCATGTGCGTAGGGACATGCAGCCGGATCGTGGGTCCCTGCCTGCTGGTGCTGGGCACGCTCTCCATGGCAGCCAACACGCTCCTGCTCTTCCCTGGAGGGGCATCGAAGTACCTGGTGGAGGGGCACATCAGCAAACATGCCAAGGCCATGCCGGGTGTCTGGGGAGGCGGCATCACCGTGAGTACCGGAGCTTGCACTGAGTCCTTCCTCATGTCTGTGGAGCAGGGACAAAGGCATGGAGCTGGTGGCTCCCCTTTATGCCCCAGCCACGTTTTCCTTCCTGCAGGTGCTGCTGGCAGCGACCCACATCACGGCGGTTGGGTGGCGATGTGCCGGCTGCTCCGACTGTGGCACCCGTCGCAATGTAAGGCAGCACTGGGACCCCCAGAGCGTGGTGGGGTATGGTGGCTGGCCCCAGTGTGGGTGGCAGCTCTGCCATAGTGGGACATGGCATGGATCCTCCTTTCCCACGGCCCCATGGTGGGATGTGGTAGATGACCCCTCTCCAAAGGGAGTTTGTAGCAGGGTGCCCCTTTCCCATGGACCTGGGGTGGGATCCTGCATGGTGCTACCTCCTCAGAGGACAGTTTCCTGTTCATGCTGTCATAGGCTCCACGTGGCAGCTCCCTGCCCTGTTCCCTGCCTGCTTCTGCCCAGCTTAAACAACTCAGTGACTGCTTCATCCTGAGCCTCAGATCCCCAGGGCTGGAGTCCCCTGGGGTGAAGGAAAGGAGAGTTGTGCCCCCTTGCCAAACTCCACCGATAACATGAAGCTGCATTTGGAGCCCACCTGACTTTCGGTGTGCTGTGTCCCTGGTTGCTGTCTACAGGCTTTCATCTCCGCTGTGCTCTCCAAGCTGGCGCTGATGGGCGCTGCTGCCTGCTTCATCTTCTCTGGGGTGGGTTTGACCAATGGACCCCTCTGCTTCTACAACACCTCCGAGCATGGCCACAGGCATGGCACCGTCTGGGGTTACCCCTTCCTGGACACTGGCGTCCAGGAGCCGGATGCCAGGTGAGGCAGTGCAGTTCAGTGGAGGTGATGCCTTGTCAGCTTATGGCTAATGAGGCTGGGGTTACTCTGGTGGGTGGGTTTGCTGGAGGCGACTGCAGCCCTGAGGGGAAGGACTTGGGGTGTTGGTTGATATGATTTTATGAGAAACCAACCGTGCCCTGGGCTGCAGCACAAGGAGTGTGGCCAGCAGGTGGAGGGAGGGGATTCTCCACCTCTGCTCTCCTCTTGTGAGACCCCCCTGCAGTCCTCTGTCCAGATCTGGGGCCCAACACAAGAGGGACATGGAGCTGCTGGAGAGAGTCCAGAGGAGGCCATGGAGATGCTCTGAAGGCTGGAGCAGCTCTGCCATGGAGACAGGCTGAGAGAGCTGGGCTTGTTCAGCCTGGAGAAGAGATGGCTCCAGGGAGACCTTAGAGCAGCTTCCAGTGCCTAAAGGGCTGACAAGAAGTCTGAAGAGGGGCTTTTTACAAGGGCCTGTAGTGACAGGACAAGGGGGAATGGCTTTGGGCTGTGACAAAGGGGAGATTTAGATTAGATGTTAGGAAGAAATTTTTCCCTGTGCCAGCGCCTCAGCTCCCTCACTGAGTACTGAGGCCCTGGCACAGGGTGCCCAGAGAAGCTGTGGCTGCCCCATCCCTGGCAGTGCTCAAGGCCAGGCTGGATGGGGCTTGGAGCAACCTGGTCTGGTGGAAAGTGTCTCTGACCATGGCAGGGGGTTGGAGCTGGATGAGCTTTAAGGCCCTTTCCAACTCAATTCTATGATTGCAAGACCCCTACAGCTCAAGAGGTCCTCACTGTTCATGGCTTTTTACATTGTGCTTCCCATCCCCATCACCCTGCTGACCCTGCTCATCGCTGGGATGAAGGATAGAACATACCTCCACAGCAGAAAGTGATGTAATTCCTGACCTGCTGCAGGGCAGGTTCTTACATCTCTTCCCCTCCCCATTGAGCAGGACAGAGAACTACCTATATGATCGTCGCACCTGGAGCACCTGCCTGGAGCCAGAGGGCATCGTGGCCTGGAACGTTGTCTTCTTCTCCCTCCTGCTGCTCATCAGTGCTGCTGAGATGGTACTGGCATCCTTCCAGATCCTCAATGGCTGCCTTGGCTGCCTCTGTGGCTTTTGTGATGGGAAGAAGAGTCCCCCATGAGGAACAGACACCCCAGTCTGCATGAGGTTGGCATGCAAAGGGCTGCCCCTGTGCAGAGCCCTCTGCCTGCACGATACCCCTTCCTCCTCCCTGGGGGTGCCGATGGGGCTGGCAGTCATGTGGGGGTGTAAACCAGCCCAGTGAGCGATGGAGGTGAGGACCTGGCCCCTGGCATCCTGGCAGGAGCCCAATGGCTTCCCCAGCCGCTCGTCATCAGCCTCCACTCACCTCAGTGCAAAATGGGACACGGTGGTGTTTGCAGTGGTAAGAGCTGGAGCATTAACTCATTTTCATTGATCAGTCTGTATTCAGGTGAAGGAGACACAAATAGCTGAGCCAGGCTCCGGCTGGGGCTGGGGAACTTGGATGGAGTTGTGCTGTGGGAGACAGTGGGGAATTGAGGTGTAGCCCAAAGTTCACCCAATCACACACACACACACACGTGCATGCAGCAAATGAAAGGAGCAGCTTTTTATCTCCCTGGCTCAGGACCCATCACTGCACCTCCCAGGGGTGTCACCAGCTTCAGCATCCCCCTCCATTCGCCCTTGTCCCCTAAACCTTCACAGGGACACAGACCTGAGCCTGCCTGTGCTGGGAGGACCTTTGCCCCAAAACTGATGAGGTTCAGAAGAAAGTAGCAATGATCAATCTAGCTTAGAAAAGCCAAGCAGTGAGCCAGGTGAAACAGTAAATGGGGGATTGTTGTGGCTTATCAGAAGGTAAAAGGCAGAGAACTTGTTGGTGGAGATAAGGACAGTTTAATAACTGAAATAAAATGATAATAATGCCAATTAATAACTAATTGTAGTGAAAAGGAAAATATCAAAGAGAAAGAAATAAAACCCAAGAAAGACAAGGAATGCAAATGGAAACAGTTGCTCACCACCAGCCTTATGGAATGGGATATCCCTTGGGACAGTTATGGTCAGGTGTCCTGCCTGTGTCCCCTCCCACCATCTTGTGCACCCCAGACTGCTCACTGGTGGGGTGAGCTGAGGAGCAGGTCTGTGCAATAACAAGAACATCCCTGTGTTATCAATGGAAAGGAGCCCAGGACTGGGCTGGTGGCAGGAGCCTCCGTGCCCAACCAACTACAGGAGTTAAAGCCAGCAATAACACCCAGCTAACCCCCAGCCTGGGGATGGTAACACATGCCTTCTGTGATGCAGCCATGATGGCTGAAGGCAGGAGCCCTGTGAGCATCCCAGTGCGCTGGTCTCTGGGTTGGTGCCCTGGGGACTGGTGCTGAGGGACTGGGGGGAGAGCCAACCTTGGGGGGCACTAAGAGACGAGGCAGCTCCTTCTCCCCTGCTTCCTGCAGCGTGGGGAGCTGCCATCCTGCTGGGAACCAGTGGCTGTCAGGGGGATGTTCTGGAGCACATCGTGCAGTGTGAACATGCTGAAGGAGATCTGCTCATAAGGCGACCGTGTCCCATTCTCATAGAGGCAGGCAAAAGCAATGGCTGGGCCACCAGCGATGGGGACCTCGCTGTAGGGCAGCTCCATGTAAGCCAGGTCTGAGTAAGCACTTGGGCCCTCGTAGATGACCCATGGCTCAGTCCAGCTCTCTGCATCCCTGGGGAAGGTGCTCAGGTGAACCCCCATGTTGACCCGTGACATGGAGCTGGTGGGGTGGGAGTAGAGGATCCATGTGGGTGCTTGGAAGAAGCCAGTGGGCCTGGAGGTCACCACGGGGTCCCTTTGGACCAAGGTGTTGCCATGGGCATGGCCGTGATGCCCTGGGGTAGGACAGCCCTCCTTAGGCTCAGCTGGCTCATGCTGGCTGCTGGTGGCCACTGCAGACAGCTCATCACCCGCAGCCCACACAGCAGGCAGGTACCGAAACCCTGGGAGTATCCCAGGGAGCATCTGGGAAGCTGAGCCCCGCACGGGCATCAGGGGGTCCTGGGGGGTGGCGGGGACATAGACAAAAGGTGCGGGGAAGCCGACAACGCTGCCGTGACAGCCATGGGGGGGCTCCACCAGCCGCTGCACCAGCTGCCCCCCATGGAAGACGGCCCCATCGTCCGTGCTGAGTGCCTGGACCCTGAAGCCCAGGGGGCTGCGGGCGTTGCAGTAGAGGACGTTGGAGCCATCCTCCTCGTCCACTGAGACCAGCTGGCACTCGCCTGTCTGCAGGTTGGGGATGAACTCCCCGAAGCGCCAGCCTCGGCCGTGGTCGTCGCTGTAGAAGGCGAAGGAGTGGGGGGTGGTCTTGCAGAGCTGTCCGAAGCACTCCTTGCAGTCGATGTGGTAGCTGTAGGCAGGCACCAGCAGCCGGCCAGACCGCAGCTGGATCCCGTGCCCAGGGCCCAGTGCAAACGTTGCCCAGTCTAGGGAGAGGAGATGGAAAGGGGTTGAAGCTTGCTCCTGCCATGCCCAGTGTGGGAAAGTTCACCGTAGCATCCCTCCCAGCCTAGCTAAGCAAGGTGGTGGGGTGGGAGGCATCAGAGCTCTCTTTGTCCTACTCGTAGCCTCTCCATCTTTTCCTCCATGCAAATGATACAGGTGCTCCCTCCATCCCACCTCCCCTCTGCTTGAGATCCTTTTCCACCCCACCTCTTTGATGCCTGTGGGCTTCCTACTCTGAGGCCACTTCCAGCCACACAATGGATGCGTCCAGAAGACCAAAACCCCCATGATCACCCTTCTGTTCTCCCCTCTTCTTGCCCCACTCCAGTGTGCTACCTTTGATGGCCCCACCAATGACCTGCTGTGTCAGGTCCGTGGCTTTGCTCCAGCTCAGGCCCTGGTCAGTGCTGGTGATGCAGCAGAGGCGGGTGACATTCTGGCCGGTGACAATCTGGTAGGCTTCGGGTGTCCTGCCCAGCACCGTGATGAAGAAGAGGAAGAGGGTGCCGGTGAACTCATCGTAGAGCGGGCAGGGGTTCATGGAGCGGTGGTGCTGCAGCGTCGCCGTCTCCAGCACACGCATGTCTTCCCACTGCCCCGGGGGGAGGAGGAGAGCATGGAGAGGGATGAGGACCATTCCACTCCACCCAACCCACTCTGCCCTCCCTGTTGTGGCTGCCTCCAGGAGCTGAGCCATGCCAGTCACAAGCAATGGAGGACAGACAGCCACCCCCTGTGCCCCCTGCAGCCCCAAGGGCATCCCCCATCCCACCTCCACGTATCTGCCGTAGATGGAGCCGCGGCGCAGCACCAGCAGGTTGGCGTGGGCATCGTCCGCACTCAGCCGCTCCTCCGCGAACGCCAGCAGCTTGGCCACGCAGGGCAGGTAGAGCAGGGCAGGCACCCGGTACGTGACACCGTTGGACTCCTTCTCAAAGAGCACGGTGCGGGCAGGGAAGTGCCGGGAGCCCATGGCATCTGCAGCACAAAGATGTGGCCTGACCCCAGTGGGTTGATGAAGGGGGGACAGCGGCTGCTGGGCACAGCTGTGGGTGCTGGCTGGGACTGGGTTGCCCTTGGAGGGGGTTAGGGTTTTAACTTGGTGAGCTTGGGTTTGGGGAGCCCCCTAAGAGCATGGGCTGGAGGGCTGGTGGCCACAGGTGAGGTTGGGGTTGAGAGAGCTGAACGTGTGCTGCTGCGGTGGCAAATCACCGCTGCTCAAGGGGGGCACAGGATTTTGGGTAGCACTGAAGGGGCTGACCTGGGCTACCCCAAATAAAACAAAATAGATCTTCAAGGTCATCCATCCCTGGCAGTGCTCAAGGCCAGGCGGGACAGGGCTTGGAGCAACCTGGTCTAGAGGAAGGTGTCCCTGCCCATGGCAGGGGACTGGAACTGGATGAGCTTTAAGGTCCCTTCCAACCCAAACAATTCTGTGATCCTATGCTGACGGCAGGAGTGCCACCACAGCTGTCCCAAAGTTACATGTCCCTGCGTGCCCCAGGTTACCACCACCGGAGGAGATAGATGGGCATCCCCCTCCAGGGCGCAGCCGGAGCAGCTGAGGGTGACTCACCTGTGATTTAACTAGGAGCTACAGCCAATCCAACACCTCACGCTGAAAGCGAAGGCACTCACCGGGTCCTGCTCAGCTGCGGATCCCTGTCCCAGGCACACCACGGGGTAACACCGGCTCCGGCAGCAGACGGCTTTCTGCAGAGCCTGTTGCCTTGCTGCTTCGCTCCCCCCTTCCCACCGCGCAGGGTCCCCCCAGCGATGGGTCGGTCACAGGGCTCCCACTGTGGCTGGGAAACCCCTGAGTCAGCAGTGGCAGCCGCTCATGCAGCACCCGCCGCACAAAGGCTCCGTTATGGACCCTGGGCAGAGCTGGGGCCCCGCGGCTGCCAAACCACCTTGGCTGGAGCCCCCGGGGGGATGCAGGGGGAGCCATGGGGGTGTTCGCGTCTCCTGCTGCAGCTCCCAGCAGCGCTGCAGTGCGTGCTCAGCCCAGAAACCAACCGTGCCCTGCGCTGCAGCACAAGGAGCGTGGCCAGCAGGTGGAGGGGGGGATCCTGCCCCTCTGGTGAGGCCCCCCCTGCAGTCCTGTGCCCAGCTCTGGGGCCCCCAACACAAGAGGGATGTGGAGCTGCTGGAGTGAGTCCAGAGGAGGCCACAAAGATGCTCTGAGGGCTGGGGCACCTCTGCTATGGAGCCAGGCTGAGAGAGCTGGGCTTGTTCAGCCTGGAGAAGAGAAGGCTCTGGGGAGACCTTAGAGCAGCTTCCAGTGCCTAAAGGGGACAACAGAAAACCTGGAGAGGAACTTTCTACAAGGGCCTGTAGTGACAGGACAAGGGGGAATGGCTTTGGGCTGACAGAGGGGAGATTTACATTAGATGTTAGGAAGAAATTCTTCCCTGTGAGGGTGCTGAGGCACTGGCACAGGTTGCCCACAGAAGCTGTGGCTGCCCCATCCCTGGCAGTGTTCAAGGCCAGGTTGGATGGGGCTTGGGGCAACCTGCTCTAGAGGAAGGTGTCCCTGCCCATGGCAGGGGGTTGGAACTGGATGAGCTTTAAGGTCTTTTCCAACCCAAACCATTCCATGATTCAATGATTTCCCTCCTCCCACAGGCTGGGAGAGGCTGGAGCTCCCAGCCCAGGTCCTTGAACCCATGTTCACCACGGGCCACCACATCTGTGAGCTCCCCAGCCTGTGGCTGTGGTCTGGAGGGTCCCAGCCTTCCCAGGACCCCCACCACCGGTCAGCTGTTAGCAAGTATTTCTATGCTGATATTCCGCCCCTGGCATCGGCTCAGCCAAAGGAGCTCAACAACATTCACATGGCAGTCATGGACCACAGACTTCAAGGTAAAACTCAGGCTCAGGCTGCAGGATTGGCCAGGACAGGCCCCCAGGGATTGCCCAGGCCGAACACACGCAGCGGCAGGGGCCGTCTCCTCCAGCCCCGGTAGTTATAAACGCCTGGTTAATTTCACCTCGGGTTGCTGGAGCAGAAAACCATGAAAGTGCTGTTGCTGCTCTCCTTGTGCGCATGGCTTGAGAGGAGCACAGGCTGCACTGCAGGCGGTTAACCCTTGCCTTGGCTGGCTCCCTCCACTACCTCCTGGGTTTAAACACAGCCAAGGAAAATCCTTGCTCTGCTTCCCACACCACTCCCTCCGACAGCATCTCTCCCTGCGGCAAAGCTGCAAGCCAAAGGATCCTGGATCATCATCCCAGCCTTGCCATCCAGGTCCCAGTACTGCAACAGCACTGGGAAGGCCTGTCAGAAGGGCAGCACCAAGCCCAGGGGAGCTGTATTTCAAAGCTCAGCCAGCATCTCCTGCTCGCACTGGTCAGGGCAGCTGCAGGACCTGGATGGTGTGAGCGAGCTATGTCTCGCTCCACTCCTCTCCTCATCAGTGCTGGAGAGTGGTGGGGGCAAGGGGGTGTCCCTTTGTCAGCAACAAAGCCTCTGGGATGCTGAGCCCAGGGGACCATCCATGCCCAGGGACTGGGGACCCTTGTTCAAGGGAGCAGGGTGAAACCCCAAATGTTGCTCCCAGGGGAGCACCAAGCTGTCTCAGGTGGTCCAGAGGCCCCACACACCCCATGACACACATGAAAAACAACGTCTCATGTGCTGGTGGGGAAAGGCTGCCAGGCAGCACACCCAGCTTTGGGCATGGTGTTTGTGACTCTCATCTGCTGCAAAGAGCAGCACTGGCATCGCATGGTGGTTTAATGTCACTGAGCATGGATGCTGGACAGGACACCCAACGTCTCCTCTGCTTCTCTGAGCACTGCATCCCCTCATCACTCTCTCCTCCTCGTTTCCCTCCCCCTTCCCTTTTTTCCCCTAAATGCCCCAAAACAGGTCTTGCTCTAGTGAGCTGTGACCAGTCTGCACGAAATGGCAGCTATTAAACAAAGTCAAATGCAAAGAAAATGATTAAGCCCGTGATTAATGATTAAGAGGCAGGAATGTCTAAGCCAGCTGAAAGCCTGCCCAGCACGCAGCAGCAGCAGGCTGTCCCCCTGCCTGGCAACAGGCATCATGCAGGATCTGGGCAAAGCAGAGCCTTGGGCTCAACATCCCCAAAAAGGGACCCACCACCAGTTTGGTGGCCCTGAACAAAGCCCTTTCCTGCCTCTCCCTCATGTGCAAGAGCCTTGTGGACCAGTCATGTGCCAGACATGGGGTGACGCGAAGGGGTGGGAAACTGCAATGGGTTGTCACATGCCCTAGTTGGGAGTTGGGGGCTGCATCTTCTCCTGGAAAGCGGTCCACAGCAAGGGCAAGCCCAACTGCTTCCTCTTCTTGTGCGGGTGTTGGGCAGCGTAAAGATAGGATGTGTACTGGAGCTCTGGCATGACCATTTTCTGGCAGGTTCTCAGTGTCCTGTTGTCTAAGTCTTGTTTGAGGTTATACCCAAGGATATTTGCATCCCCTGACTGGAAAGGCAGAAGAGCTTTGTTCTTGATGTGATCCTTCCCCACAGCCTCCTGGTCCGAGAGGCAGGTCTCCATGAGCTCCTTCTGTCTCATTCGCAGGCGACTCACCTCCTTCTCCAGCTCCTCAAGGCCTAGAGTCTCCTCAATTCTCCTCCAGAAGCTCTGGTTGAAGTGCAGGTAGAGCTTCCAGTCTAGTGAGCACCATGATTTTATCTGCTCCTCGCTTTCTGGAGTCAAGGTCTGGACAGTGTCCTGGCTTCTGGAATTGAGCTTGAAGTAAACCACATCATCCAGATCCCAGCACAAGGTGTGCTTCAGGAGGATCATGGACTCATCAAAGTATTCTGCTATCAAGATCAGGTGGAAGTTCTGTTCAATCTCCTTCAAGACTGCCTGAATGTACTTTTTGTTGTCCTCTGCATTGTTGTCATAGCCAAAGTCAAACCACATGATATTCCTGGCATAGATGTTTTGCTTGTAATCCTCTGGATGGTAATACTTCATGGGTGACGCCAGGTATTCATTCACGTCCTTGGAGATCCTGAAGGCAGGGACAGTGTCCTTGTAGTAGATGTAGGAAGACTCCAGCAGAGGAATGGGGTTCCTCAGGATGGAGAAGTAGAAAGTGTTTGCTGCCATCACCTTTTGCACCTGTTTGCGGGGAGGAAGAAGAGAGGCTGTTAGTCTGGAGGCCCTGCTTGTTGAACCGGTTTCTCCGCAGGTGGTGTGGCCCTTCCTTACCTCGGAGGGGTTAAACCGCAGGTGGTTGCACATGATGTTATAGTTTTGTCCTATGGCCTGGAATTCCTCCACAAAGTGGGCCAGGAAGGTGTTTGGGTAGCCCAGGTGGACAAGCTGGTCAGCGGGCAGGGCGACGGTGAGGTTGTGCCTCTCTGCGAACCTGAACATGATGTTCAGGACGGTGCTGCTGGCTGTCTTGTGGGTTTTGAGGAACATGACATTAGTCTTGGCACGGCAAGGCATGAAAGGTATCAGCAGCTCCTCGTGGACCTTTGAGATTCTGCAGGAAGGCAACAGGTAAGGAAAACAGCCCCTGCAGTGCCATACCCCATCTCCGGGACCTGATGAAGCCAAGCCTGAGCAGGTTCTCCTTCTGATACCACACTGCAGCTGCGGCAAGGCACCCACCTAAATAAGCCCCATCCCTCAGGCATAGATGTTGGACTGTTTTTGCTTCCCCAGGTTCCCACCCAAACGCTTCAGCTTGATCCCCTTTTCTTTTTCCATATGGCTGATTTTGCCCAGAAAGCTGCACTCTGGCTAATTACATCTCTTGCCACCCAAATGTGGATCTAGAGCTAGAGATAACTTTGGGCCACTGCCCTTACATTATTAGCCTAAAACCCATGTGTTAAAATCAAGTGCCACAGGTCAGACCCTTTCCGCTCTGTGCAGATGAAGTCACGCAGCCTTGCTTCCACTTCACTTACGTGTAGTCTTTATTCTTCATACGGAAGAATCCCGACAGGAAGATCAGCCCCAGGCAAAGGCTGATAACGACGAGACATTTGGTATGCCTGGAGAGAAAGGAGAGTTTCAGTGGATTTTTATGTGATAGTGCCTCCTGAGTGTGAGCCACCCAGTGCTGCTGATTGAGCTTGGGAATGTTCATCACGGGGAGCACAATTTTATGCCTCCTTTTGCTCCCTCAGCTGTGTGAGCAGCTCTGCATTAGAGGCAGGACAGTGAGAAATTGCTCTTTCAACATCACTCTCCAAGGTTTGGCCTTTGGCAAGGCACAGCCTACTACAGGCAGAGCCTGAGCGCTTCCAACAGCCTCCGGCTCTGCCCTGCTGCCTTTTATTTTGCCTTTCTTTTAGCTCTCTGTGGCTCCAGATCTCATTCACTGTTGAAATTTCTCAATTATTCACTAGAAAATTCCAAAATGCAGCAGATCTGGCTTGGGCTTTTGGTTGTTTTGAGAAGATGTACTCCCATGTATAGCATGGGATGGTCAAACTCATCAC